TTTAATATGAAATGCAAAATACTGCAGTAATAAGTTTCCCTTATGTTACAAAATACAAGCATTCCTCATTTTACCTGAGGTACTCAAGAACAGTTTGTAAAAGTTCATTTTTAAATGAGTGAAACTTGTAAATGCATCAAGATAATTTACTATTTAAAATACTATGGTAGATCCTGTATTTTTTAATGGAATCAAATCTGTCATTTACATGCTAGATTAAATTTCTAAAATATGGATTTTGTTACACCATTTTCCTACTCAAAAAACTAAGATAAAATAAAGCTCAGTCTCCAGAGTCTAGGATGAAATACTCTCCATGCTCTGGCCCTAGTTTACCCCTCCAATTTTATCTTACTTTTCCTTAACACCAGCTCTCTGTTCCAACCAGCCAAGAATTCCTCACTGACCCTCAACACCACATACTCAATCTTTTTTCCAAGCTTTTGTTCATTCCTTTCCTTCTGACCTGGAATACCTCTCACTGTCTTCTCTGCCTGTCTAAATCTTACCAATTATCAATGCCTCACACAGGTTTTACTTCCTTCAAAAGTATTTTCCTGACTACAATGGATGTCTCTGTTTTCTGACCTACGGCACTCATTGTCTAATTCTATGCCATTCATCTTGGGACTTAATTATATATTTATTTTGTTTCAGTATTTAACTCTTCATTAGACTGCAAGTTCATGGAGAACGAGTACCTTGACTTATACTCCTTTGTATCTGCCTTTGTGCCTAGTGCAGTGTTATGTACACAGTAAGTACTCAGTAAATAACTGAATGAATGAAACGAGGATTTTTATATGTTGTGTTTGAATAAATGTTTACATTTTTATGTGTTTTTAAAAGTTACCTTATGGGAAGTAGTGTTCATTTTAATATGAACAAAACTAATCATAAAAATAAATGCTAACATTTCAGAATGAACTCGGGAAGTTGTATGTATTGATTTTATTATAATAGCATTTTAAAAATTCCATTATATCGCTGACATATAACCTGTCTTCTTCCACTGAAGTTATGTTCCACTATTTTATCATATTGTATAGGTGAACCTGGGTTTTCAAAGACTTTGACAACAAATAAGCAAGTACTTACTTTGTATGTACTGTATGTCATCCGTTGTACTAAACTCTAGGCATGCAAAGTTAAAAATAAAACTCCTAAATTTCAAAGGATGAATATTCTATCAGAGGAAGCAGTACATACACATAGATACAAAGTATGTTGGTACCTATGTATCAAATGTGCATATAAAGTTGTGTGTGGGTAATATGTATATATACGTGTGTATGTATTTTAAATTGTGGATGGAGGAACATCAGTAGCTAAGGGGATTAGGAAAGGCTTCGTGTAGGGTGGCACTTAAACTGAGTTTTAAAGGGATAAGTGGCAGAAGAATTGTTTTCCAGGCATGACAGTCTGTGCTGTTAAAAAGTTTAGCAGAAGTAATTTTTATGAGGAAAAACAGGTCAGTTTGACTAGAACGATGAGTATTTGAAACGGAAAATATGTAATAATCCAGGAAAGGTGAATTGGAATGAGATTGTAAAGAACTTTAAATGCCAATCAATAAGTATTGAGGACTTACTCGATCTATATATACTATTCTAGTATAGGGATTTAAAAGCAAGACCATCCCTATCCTCAAGAGGCTTAAATCATATTTTGCAAATTCCAGTGTAGTACTAGGTAGACATAACTGATGGCCTAAAATGGTGGGGGTGGGCCTATGAGTGGAAAGAAAGAGATAAGAGCTACAAAGGATGAGATTTGGCAACCAATTGGATATGAGTTAAGAGAGTGAGGAGAATAACTAAGGCTTCAAACCTGGGTGACTGATAGTACTCTCAACAGAAACAGAGAAGTCAGGAAGAGGAATGGGTCTGAGGAAGATGATGAGCTCAGACCCAACATAAGCTCTAACACATCCTACAAAGCTTTGAAAATGTGCCTAAAATAGACAATGTCTGCATTAATGGAGAGTTTGCCACAGAAATAATGAGTTTTTGAAGAATTAGTCAAAGAAGTTACCTTGCTTGCTTGATGAGAATTAATCAGTAGGATAGGAGAATGTTTGGGAAAGGAAACATAGGCAAAGCAGAAAAGAAAATATGGTGCAAAATATGGATATCATGGAAATGCAGAGAAAGTGGAAGATAACTGATGGAACAAGAGGAACAGTAGTAGTCAGCAAGCACTCAGCATTGTGCTAAGCACTGGGAATGGAAGGAAAGGGGGGAAAATAGGCCCTGCTGTCGAGAAGTTGATGTTCTAGGGGGAAAATTACATGTAAATGATTAGGTATATGGGGCAACTAGATGGCAAGTGGATAGAGTGCTAGGCCTGGAGTCAGGAAGACTCATCTTCCTGAGTTAAAATGTGGTCTCAGACACTTACTAGCTGTATTACCCTGGGCAAGTCACAACCCCACTTGCCTCAGTTCCTCATCAGTAAAATGAGCTGTAGAAGGAAATGACAAACCACTAGAGTATCTTTGCCAAGAAAATCCAAATGGGGTCACAAAGAGTCAGACACAACTGAACAACAAGAAATTAGGTATATATAGGATATATACACAGAAAAAAGGGAATATAGTCTGAAAGGGAACGTCACTAGCAGCTAGGGGAAAATAGAAAGGCCATCTCCTGTGGAAGGTGGGATTTGAGTTTGTCTTGAAGGAAGCCAACATGACTAAGAGACAGAGGTAAGAGGGCAGAGCATTCCGGGAACAGGGAGGAAGCCAGTGCAGAAACATAGAGTGAGGAGATACAGTGTCCTGTGCAAGGAGCATTAAATATTCTGCTTTAGCTGGATTACAGAATGCACAGAGGAGAGTAAAGTATAAGAAGACTAGAAAGTTAGGGATGGGTTAGGTTATAAAGAGCTTTAAATCCCAAAGAAAAGAATTTAAATTTGATCCTGGAGAGGAATCCTTGAGCTCAATCAAAAAGCAGGGAAAGGTGACATGAACAGACCTATGCTTAAGAAAAATCAAACTGGCAAGTGACTGAAAGATGGATTATAGTGAGGAAAAACTTAAGGCTAGGAGACCAGTTAGAAGGCTATTATACTAGTCAGGGCAAGAGATGATGAAGATAGCTTTCTAAATAGTCAAATAGGGGCAGCTAGGTGGTGCAGTGGATAGCCCATTGACCCTGAAATCAGGAGGACCTGAGTTCAGAAGCGGCCTCAGACACAAAACACTCACTACCTGTGTGACTCTGGGCAAGTCACTTAACCACAATTGCCTCACTAAAAATAAGCAGTCAAATAATAATTTAGGAAATGCTATGTGTCTTGGAAAGTTTGCTCTGAAGATTTTACATTCTTATACTATTGTGGAAAAATCCTTTCTGCACTTGCTGCTCTATTTAAAGATCTTATATCGTAAAAATTGTCCCAAAGAAGGCTTGACTGACCTTTCACTAACCAGGACAGGAGGTACTTTAGCCCTGAGTGCCAGATGTGGGTGCAAACAGTGCACAAAATTGCCACTAGCATAGGAAGACACTGGGGTGAGGAGAGAGAGGCCAGGGTAGGGAAATGAAAGTGATATACACTACCACAGAAATGGAATAGGAATTAAAAGAAAAATTGAGAAAGCGTGTGTGGTGAAGAACAGTGGAATGCCATTGTCAGCTGTCTTGTATGAGGCTTGTCGGAACAATTTATGCTCAAAATTTTGAGGAACAAGTGTAGGAGGAAACCTTACCCTCTCTCTCTCTGTTCCCACCCCCACCTCCCCTCTAATGTCACTGTCTGGCTGAGTTGTGAGTGATGTTGATAAGACAGCTGAGTCAGCCAGTGGGCAAGGAGGGGACTTAGAGTAATGCTCTAAATTGGAGACTAATTTGAAGTGGCCTCTCTCTCCCTTCAGGTGATTTCACAAAATAGTTTTGCAAAGCAGAAGCCCAAGCAAAGTGTGCCTTATTGACTGAGAAATATCAGGCAGTAGGCATTCCTAAATCCTCACACAGACAGCTGTTTAGTCTTTCCTTCCCCCTTTGCCACTCAAATGCTGCACAGAACCTAGGCGTTGGCAGTGTCTTAGAGAACTAGTTGAAATCCTGTTCTTAACAGTAATGGCTTCTTCAACACCTGCGGTTATTTTTGGCCTTTCTCTTTTGTTTCCAGTATTTACATCAATTCTGTAGGTTGCCAGTCCGCTCCAATCATTCTGTCCCTTGACTTGGTGATCTCTGTGTCAACTTCTATCTCTGAAACCAGGGTTCTCAGTCTCTCTTTTCCACCTTCCCTCCTACACTCCATACTTCAACCAGTTTGGTTAAAATTCTGGCAAGGGGGGGCAGGACAATGAGCAAAAACCGGGGATGAATATTTACTCCCACCAGTTTCATTTCACACAACTTTTGCTAGGTCTCAGGTGGATTTGGTACCTTTAGTCTAAGTAATGATAAGCATCAAATATTTATAAAATACCTATTGTGTATCAGGCACTGTGCTGGGTAATAAGGGTACAGACTTCCAAAGCAAAAAGAAGGCCCAGCCTGCGAGGGGCTTCGAGTCTACTGAAAGTAGATATCCACCCACATGGTCCACTGGACATTCGGCACGAAGATTCCAAACCATTAATCTCCTCTTCCCCAAGAGAATGTAAGTTGCCCTATGAAGGGCACCATACAGGTGAGCCTCAGCATCTTTTGGTGGGACAAAAGGTGCCCATATAAATTACCAGGGAGCTGTGCCTTGGCTAGCCAAGTTTTTTCCTCAGATCTGTAACCTATTGGATTCCACAATCCAAAGAAAACGAAGCGCGCGGCGTCCCCTCAGCCCTCCAACTCCACCATTAGCGCGGCTGGCCTGGGTGGGGGTGTGCCCCCGAAGGGTGCGGAGCTGTGGCCCCAGCAGCAGCGGCCAGATTCCCGAGGGGGGAGGAGACAGAGCTGGGGGCGTCAGCTCCGCTCCTCCTCCCCGCCATGTGAGAGGCGCTGGCCGCTGGCCGCTGAGCCCCCTTGTCCAGACACGTGGGGCTAGAGTCCGGGTCGCTTTCCCAGCTGTCAGCGCCGCTTCCATTCTGCTCTCCCCTGCCCGCCCCGTTTCTTCTCTTCTTCCTCCTCCTCTTCCTCTTTTCCTCTTCCCCGCAGGCGTGTGCGGCCACCATGGCGTCCAGCGAGGACGAAGGCGGCAACGGGGGTCCCTCCGAGGCGGGCGAGGAGAAAGAGACGGTCAAGAAGAGGAGACGGGGCTTCCTGGCCACCGCCTGGCTCACGTTCTACAACATCGCCATGACCGCCGGGTAAGTGGTGGCCGGGCAGACAGACATCCTCGCGCTCCCGGCGCTCTCCCGGGACAGCTCCCCGTAGCCCTTGCAGGAGCCTGGAGGAGGGCAGTGGAGAGGTCAAGGCCGGTGGCACTTCGGCGCTGGGCCGCCTGGGGTGAGGGGCGGAGAAGGGGCTGAATGGGGCGGCGACGGGGGGCAGGGGGCGGAATGGTGGCCCCTCTTCTGGCAGCTGCCCTTGCGGGCCAGAGGGAGCAACTGGGGTGAGGGCCCTCTGCCCCTGGGGAACAGGCTGGTGGCAGCTGGGACCGCGGGGGGGGGGGGGGGGCCCCCGGGGGGGGGGGGCCCAAGGGGGGGGGGGGGACCCGGGGGGGGGGGAGCTGTGAGCTGGAGGGAGCCGCCGACCGGTTGAATGAAAGCGAGGAGGGGGGAGATAAGGTCCCTGGACTCGCGGGGCATTGCCTAATACGGTGCCGGGCATTGGAGCCGCGGGCGCGTCAGTGCGCTCTGCCGGGCGGACGGTGAGGTTAAGTATAGACTGAGTTAGGAATGCGGGGGACGGCCTAGGGGGACTGGGGGAGTGAGACACTCTCACGCACTCACACTCACTCACACACACACACACACACACCGACGGACTGCAGCTTCTCGAGGCTCAGTTTACTGCTGCCGCTGTTGAAGAAATACTCGCAGGCTCTTGCTGCTGCCCGGTCACCTCCATATCCTCCTTCCCACGTTTGGCTCCCGAGACGGTCTGGTCCATTCTTGTTCTAGCAGCCAGAAGGAAAAAAGAAGCCCTCCCTGACTTATCCAGTGCAGAAAACCTGGAAATGGGAAGAATCAATGAAAACCTGCTTTTATCTCACGAGTGTTAGAAATAATTCTCTTTCCAATCCCAAAGTTTATTCAAGCACGGTTACTTAGGACCAGTGTTTTCTGAGCATTTAATTAGTCTAGCATTCTGGGCACTCCCTTTGTAACTAATACATCGACTTTTATTTCTGGCGTTAGGTATGTCTTACTACTTAAGCTTATACTAGGGCTCCTTCTTCACAGAATTTTAAGTCTTCCCTACTAAAGAACTTTTCAAAATTTAGGGAAATACTGTCCCATTTCCATACTGCATTGCCTTTTTAGCTTATTTTAATTATTGTCAGCCAGCAGTGTTTCTTTCTGTATAGCATGTGATATCGGTGAACGATTAGTAATATACTTATTATATATTTTATTACTATTCAGTTTACTAAGCCCTCTACAGAAAATACTATTTGCAAAAATTTAACCAAAGCAAAAGCGTTTATAGTGCTCTAGACTGCTGGGGGCCAGAGCGCTTACAGAGGGAATACAAAAGACGTGTCCTACCCTGGGGTAATTTACCGGATAACAAAACAAATAAAAGAAACTGTTCTGCAGCAATTAAGTGCTAAATTGTATGGTACGTACTTGAACTGTAGGCGAGAGGTTAGTGTGGGCTAAAATAATGGGGAAGGGGTAGAAATAGGACTTAAGCTGGACCTTGAAGGTAGGATGTAGATACGAAGAACCGAGAAAGGATGACATTCTATGTGGGAAGAATAGCTTGTGAAAAAGACTCAAAGTGGAAATGACCATGGTATGTATTAGGGGGCAGTGAAAAAACCAACTTGACTAGACTGGACAGTGTATGTCCGAGAATAGTGGGAAGTAAGTTTGGATGAGTTGAGGTTGGGGGACCTTGTTCTAGAATTGTCTTGAATGTCAGGCAAAGGAATTTGGACTTATTGTAGTAGGCCATAGGAGCTAAAGCTGTATTTTAGAAAGATTAGTGGTATTAATTAAGAGAGCAGGAGGACAGAAATCAGGAAAACAGCTGAGAGGCTGGTGTAATCTAAGTGTGAAGTGATTAGAGCCTGAACTGAGGTGTTAGCCGAGGTAAGTGAGAAAAATGACATCAGAGAAGCGTTTTCAAAATGAGAAACAAAATGAAACTTGTTGACAGGTTGACTTTTCAGAAAGAAGAAAAGGAAATATTTTTAAATGTAGGCTTCTTACCCTAGTAGACTAGACAACATAAAGTCAAATAATCTTTAAAAATTGAATTGAAAAAAATCTAAATTATATAGGGGGTCCCAAAAGGCTTATGTGGTTTTAAGTCTTAAATAAGGTAAAATTAAAAGACTTTTGGGATATCCTTTATAATTCAGCTCCCTCATTTTACAGATGAGGAGAGCGAGCACCAAAAGTGCTTAAGTAACTTGTACAAAGTTATGACAGTGGTTACTGGCTGACTAGGACCAGAATCCAGGGCTTCTGACTCCTAGTCTAGTGTTCTTTCTACTATGCAAGCATTGAATTCATGGTGATAGAAGGAGGCCATAGTGAAAATGTCATACAGGCACTTAACAGTGTTTAAAATTATATTGCATGATAGTATCATAGAATGTTAGAACCAGAAAAAAATCTAAGGTGAGAATTTTGGGTAGCAAATCCGAACCAGTATTCTAGAAATCTTTTCAGATTATTGATTTAGCTTAAATCGGTAATATCAGTTTTTAAAATATTTGTATAGAATTATAGATCTATAGCTTCAGGCAACGTCTAGTTGGATCTTCTAATTCTACAGGAGACTTGGAGTCAGAGACCTGAATTCAAATCCCAGTCCTGACACTTAACTGTGTGACTGTGCTGGATAACAATAGGAAATGTGCAGACAAGGGACCTGGATTGGAATCCTGGCTCTGCCATTTATAACCTTTGTGACTTTGAACCAATTACAACCTACCTAAGCCTCAGTTTCTTCATTTGTAAAATGAGGAAGTTTGAACTATAGATCCCTTCCAGATCTAAAGCTTCATTTCTGTGACCTTAGAAATGAAGCAGTCTAACCTCCTCATTTTCCAAGTAAGGAAACTGAGGCCTTAGGAGGTTATGTTATCTACTTGGTGTCACAGCTAGTAAATTACATAGTTGGCATTTGAATCCAAATCTTCTGACCTCACATCTGCTGTTGTTTCTATAAAACAGCGCCTTCAAATATTTAAAAGTTGTCCAACACAGGTGGTAGAACCATAAAAGTAGGTAAGGGAATGTGGGTAAAGAGAAAAATAGAAAGCAGAAAAAACAAAAGGAGTGGTTGAAAAAGGCAAGAGGAGAACCAGAAAATACAATATCATTTAAAAAAAAAAAAGGAAGGAGAGAGACAGTTTGAAGACATGGAAGACCAGTAATACAAAAGAATGGTGGAGGAGAAAAAAGAAAAAAAAATTGGATTTGGCAAGACGTAGAGTTAATTTAACTTTTGAGAAAGTTTTCAGTAGAATAGTAGTAGAAGCCCAGTTGTAGGAGGATGGAAGGGAAAGTGTAAAGAGAAAGGAGTAATCATGTATATGTGTGTGTATATATATATATATATACATTATATATATAAAACCTATTATATGTCAGGCACTATGTTAAATTCTTTACAAATATTATCTCATTCAATCCTCACAACAACCCTTCAAGGTGGGTGGTGATATTATTATTATCCACATTTTACAGTAGAGGAAGAAACTAAGGCAAAAAGGTTAAGTGACTCGGCAGGGTCACATAGTCTAATAAGTTTCTGAGTCTGAATTTGAACTCAGGTCTTTCTGACTCCAGGTCTAGTGCTATATCCATTGCACCATCTAGAAACAATAGGAATAATTCCATTTGGAGGTGGAAGGGACCTTAAAAGGTCATCTAGTCCAACCCTTCATTTTATAGATGAGGAAAATGAAGCCCTTGAGAAATTAAAATGAGAAGCCCAAGGATACACTGTAGGAATGGAACACAGGGTGTGCTTTCAACTTTAACGCATTTCCCGACTATTCTGCTGACACTCTGGCCGTCTTTCTCCTCCCATCTCCAACTTGGAAAACTTCCTCTAGAGCCCAGAGCTTTGATAAAAAGAGCTCTAACCTTATCTTTCCTAGAACCGGGCCGCCACACTGTTTTTAAATCATGCCACTACACACGTACCTTAACCTCTTCCTTTCCATCCTTATTACATGTTGTCTTCCCCCATTAGAATCTTAGTTCCTTGAAGGCACGGATTACCTTACTTGTTTGTTTTTGCATCCCCAGCGCTTAATACAGTGCCTGGCACATCGTAGGAGCTCCATAAATGCATTTTAATCCATTTATTCATTCATTGAATCACTGTGTTCGATTTCATGTTCAAGGGAAGTGGCAGCAAAAGGAAGATCATGAACAGGTCTTGACATCCAGGATGATGGATTGAATCTAAAAAGATAAAACCTAAAAACGAAAAATACCACACTGCACTGGTGCCTCATTGTGAAGTCAAGGCTCCCTAGGTTCTCAAAAGCTATAGCAATAAAGCCCAAGGTGTGGCAATTTCTATCATGCTTGCCGAGCTTTGAGGACAGTCCTGGCAGAAGCCTCAGTTTGCTTCTTAAGGATCAAAGAGGCTAAATACAGAGAAGCTCATTACCAGTAGACCTGCCTCTTAGGGATGAATGTTTTGGTCATAGCTGTCCGTAAAACAACACTACAAAATAGCCCTGTGGCCCAGGAGCTCCGTCCTGCTTGTGCAATGATAGTGTTGGGGATGCTTTCACTTTATCGCTAATATCTGTTGCATACAGGTGAAAAAATACAGAAAATCTAGTTTAAAAAAAACACAATAATGACCCCCATTTTAAATCAAAACATTCTCAAATCCTCCATTGTTTTGATATAGTGAAATACATTAGGGAAGGATGGTGAAAAACATGTTGGAAAATAAACCTCAGGATTAATAAGTAAAAGAGACCTAATCTTATAGACTATAAAGAAGCTTTGTGCCTGCATATAATGATCACTTTCTTTAAAAAGAGAGCTGGGAGATGCCAGACTTGACAATGAACAATATACTTACTCCCCAGGTGAACTTTATTTTAATAGGCAGGAAATTAATGATTAATAATGTGAGAATAATTTCAAAATCAGTCATATTTATACAGTTAGACTACTGACTTGTTAGAACAAAAATAAAAAATGAACAAATGAAAAGA